CGGAAGGTCTGAAATACAGAATTTAAAAAAGTAAAAAGTTGACACAGACGACGATGGACGCAGATGGACAATCACACATATGATAAGCTCCGCTTGACAAAGTCTACAGCGGAACTGAAAATGAACTAAAAATATACATTGCGCATACTTGTGCCATGAAAATGTCAACATTCATGCCAAATTTCAAAGCAATCTGACAAGTGGTTGCGGAAAATATAATTTTTAACCATAAATTACAAAAAATATTTCATGCGCTCGATCATCTTTAATGACAGCGGGCTGTTTATTCTGTGTGTATTTGGATGTTTTATTAATCTTGGTGTTTTTCTACTGATTTCTCTAGGTGCAATCCAAATACAGTAGGCATGTCTTGTTTACCTGAGATTTGCAAGAGTTTGAGATGGCAACATTTTAGTTATTTCATGTGGTTAATTAATTACTGGCATGTTGATTTCCCATTTTTGAGCCATGTTTTCAACTTTGTTTATCATTTTCATATAGCAATCTCTTTATATGTTAACATTGTCGTCTATAGAGTTTCAATTAGTGGTATGAAGGGAAAGTTTGCCTAGAACCACATGAGGTTGTTACTTTAACCATAATTATAGCTGCAATTCACTGGAATTTAGTCATTTTTGGCAGATCTCATCTTACATAACCAAAGTTTACTTTGACATAATTATTAGAAGTTTTGACCTATGTTGACCATGCATAGATCTGATAATTATGAGGTAGTGTGTTCAAGCACACATTTCATAAGATCAGCTCCATTTATATGGCAGGTGAAGTGCAAAGTACCGGTAACTGGGAATCTTTTTTTAGTCCCCTTATGGATGTTTTGCCCTGTGTGCATCCGTGTGTGCGTCCGTGATCACCTGTATTTCGAACATGCATGGACCGATTAAGATCAAACTTCACTCATACATCACACATTATATGGGACATATGCACATGCATTTTTTTCATGATCCGATTAATGATAGCCGAATAGCGGCCATTTTAAGGCCGAAAATGCATCAAAATCACACATTTTCACCATTCTGGACACGGATCTCAGTTATGCATGGACGGATTTTGTTCAAATTTGGTACATACATTAAACATAATAAGACCTTGATGCACGTCATTTTTTTTTGGATGGGGTTTGAAATGGCCGACTGGCGGCCATTTTGTTTTAAAGAATTCAGTTCTGGATCTGTATCTGAGACATGCCTGGATTGATTGAGTTCAAACTTCACACAAACAAGGTACATCATGTCACAAATATGTATGTGCATTTGTTTCAAGATCTCATTAACGATAGCCAAATGGCGGCCGCTTTAATGCCGAAAATGCATTGAAATCGCACATTTTCACCATTCCGGACCCGGATCTCAGTTATGCATGGACGGATTTTTTCCAAACTTGGTACATACATTAAACATAATAGGACCTTGATGCACGTCATTTTTTTTCCGGATCAAGTTCGAAATGGCCAACTGGCGGCCACCATTTTGTTTCAAAGAATTCAGTTCTGGATTCGTATCTGAGACATGCCTGGATTGATCGAGTTCAAACTTCACACACACACAAGGTACATCAAGTCACAAATATGTGTGTGCATTTGTTTCATGATCCGCTTAACAATAGCTGAATGATGGCCATTTTAAGGCCGAAAATGCATCAAAATCACGTATTTTCACAATTCTGGATCCGGATCTCAGTCATGCATGGATGGATTTTGTTCAGATTTAGTACAATGTGTTGTACATATGCAGGTGCATTTCGGATCAGACCACTGAAAGTGGTCTGAGATTTCGGTCCTGATCAGCTTTGAATGTACAAAATGTACGTGTCACTCAAATATGAACAGAACAGGGACGAGTCATTGACAATGACTTGTTTATTTTTATTTTGCCACTTTTCTTGCTTTGTATTCAACTATTTAGATATACATATGGGAGTAATTTTTTATCCAGAAATGTCATATGCTATGCTTTTCACCCATTGCTGTCAATCTCTTATATTTTGGTTGAAGAATTTGAAAAATTTGTAATTCGGCGTATGTTTTGACCTAATCTTATTAATTTGATTTAGGTTGGGATGTAGTCTTTAAATATAACTGTTTTTATAAAACTGGTCCAAAAATGTTATTCATTCATCAATGATTATTCATGTCACCACTAATTTCAATGGCTCTAGGAATTCTGAGAAAAATGCTTAACCTCATTTTATGGGATTTTTGTCTTATTTTGTCAATTTTTACTAATTTGCCCTATTCAAAGTTTAATGAGGTTAAACTTCCAAATATTCAAATACATTCCCAAAATTGTGTTGTTTATCTTGTCACTGACAAGAGATTTGTATACTGTCAGTATATTGGCCAAGTAATACAACTCTTTCAATTTCACAATTATTGCTCTTTTCTCTGACTTTTTGTGATTAGTTTGATAATTAGTCTCATCTTGAGTTTATTATTGAACAGTGCTTGATACCCCCCACCCCCCCAAATGATGAATCGGAAATGCTGTTGATTTGAATTTAACTTGATCGATCAGGGATGTGTAATATAAGTATTTCATATCTAGACCCTTTTCTGGTTGGTATATGTTTATTTTATTTTTAAATCCTAAAATTGTTTCTTTGAACTACTTTTTTTCACATAAGATTTGATTAAGCTCTTTATGTAGAGCAATTCCATGCATGGCCATGGTAAGTCAAATCACTATTGTGTTTTGGTATATCCAAGGTTGCCCATCACAGGTCTCTGGCCTAAATGCAGACACCATGGAATTTTTTTTTTATTAATTGGAGAAATAATGAACCGACGAATTGAGACTTGATTCAATAGAATTTTTTTTTCATAATTATAGTGATAAACTACCTTTAATAGTTATAATTTTATGTATTATTTTTAGAAATTAATTAAAATTACTAATCGTGCCAAATGTTGGTCTGTACTTGTATGTAGTGAATGAGGACATTATACTTGACAGTACTGTATCTAAGAATCAGGCTTATATTAGTTGTATGAGCCCACTATCCATGATTCCCTATAAAAACACGCTGAATGATTTTCAGAACACAAAACGCACAATATGCGAATAGATGAAGGGGAAAATTAAACAGAAATAAAATTGAAATAACAAGCAACGACAGTGGGGTCCAAGCTAACAGAATTCTGTTTCATAATTAATGAGGTCACATGATGGACAATCTGGTAGTTTGAATGATCTGTACCATGAGGTCGGAATGCAGTTGGTTCCATGTATTTACCTGGTTTGGTTAATGAGATATGGTTTTCAGAATATATAATGAGCAACGTGCTTATGCATATTAATGAGGTTATATGTATATGGTAATATCTTATGTTAGTTGCATCTTTTGTTTGACGTCTTCATGTCACTGGTTGCATGTCCTATTTCAGATATGACAGTTATGCATATTATTGAGCTCACATGACCATATATGATCATCTGTTATTTTAGTCAATTCTCTTGTTTAACATAATCGTAATAAGGCAGGTTTCATCCTCCAAACTGCAACAGTGCTTGAGATATAACAGTTATGCACACATGACTGAGGCATATGCCATTCAGATGAAAGAATACGTCTCAATAGTAGAATGCACATACAAAATTTAATCCCAATCAGACCAATACATCTCAAGTAATTCACAATTTTCAGTTTTCACAAAATCCAAGATGGCAGCCAAACCACATAATGATCAAAATTATATTATTTTTCTCATATGAAACTATGGCCAGACATCGGTTGAAGCACCTTTGAGAAACAAAAACATTTTGTACTTAAACATTTGGTAAATTTTACATAAAATCCAAGATGGCGGCCAAACCATGCGACTTATCTGAATTTATTTTTGACTTTCTGAAAGAGTTAAATTTAAAGATGCAATGTAGTAAATTAGAAGATAACATCTTAATGGTGGCATAAGTAAATATTTTTCAAACTCAAATGTGCATCATATATAGATGCTATAGATGCTAAATACCATATTTTAGAGCTTTTCACCTAGTGGTTCTGATGAAGATTTTTAAGCGTTTTTTGCCAAAAAGTCCTGTGACCGCTAAAGTTGTTATTGCTGATATATATTACACACGAGTTGTACCATATGCCATAAAAAAATCTCATCACTTAGACCCTCAGAAAATGGTCAAATAGCCACGCCCGGTTTATTTTCAATCCAATATGGCAGCCGAATCAATTGACCAATCAAAATTCTAGAAGTCTTGTGCACCAGTTCACAGTAGGAACTACAAGTATGGAGAATTTCAGACCATTTCGTTCAGCAGTTTTCTCAAACGACTTGACGAAAAAAGTTACGGAAGAAAGAAGATGAAGAAAGAAAAACCCGGACGATAATAATAGTGGCCTAGCCCTTTGAGCTGGGGCCCTGAATAAAAAATGATAAAAAATGCTGTTTTACTGTTTCCCCCCCGAAAGAATTTGGATGCCGCAAATTATAGACATCGTACATATGACATCTGATATCTGTGAACGAACTTGATTCCATACACCCCAAAACACAGTACAGTACATCTCAAATAAATAGAAAAGGGTTTCCTACATATTTTCTTAATTTGCATCTACTCTGGCATAACATCTTACCTTCTATTCTATAACAACGAAACTACAAACTACGATCAGTACACGTTGAAACCACAGACTAAATGAAAAGTCGGCGTTTCAGCCCATTAAACAACTAAAGTTATTCTGAACCTGCAGGCTTACTAGACGGTTAGAAAACAATTACTTACGTTTAAATGTGACACAAAACGAGTAGTTATGGTGAACGCTCTCTGTATGGTTCCCAAGTTTTCAGAAAGCCAAGTTTATAAATTAGTCTTGGTTATTAGAAGGTGGTCTTGGTTATCATTAGAAATGATCAGGCGTGGGCAGTTTTGCACATGCGCGTAAGATGTATGAATACTTAATTTGAAGAGACCCAAGGCATGATTCGATTGTAGCCTAAATAAACACTATTGATAAAAATCATTGTTTAACAATGTGATTTGAAGCTTGGTGGCAGGCAAAGCACTTACTTTTGTTCAGCCACTTCAGGCTTATAACGGCTAATCTAGGAGATATATTCATGGGTATTTACAGGTGAAAATGGAGGAAAATTTGATTATCTGCCATGAAATACAAGACAATAACTACTAGTAACATTTCGCAAAGTTTATTTGATAAAATCCAGGCAAGCCTAAGCCCTGGGTTGTCCACAAGCAAACTCAAGGTAATCCAAAATAGATTTCTGTATCTCTATATTGTTGCATAATATAATAATGCCACCCTAAAGTGTGGTGACTGAGTGGAAGCATGGAACTATATAGTTCCATGGTGGAAGAAACCGCCCAGCTGATAGACAAAGGGCAAAACTTTAGAGACAAAACGAAAAAAGGAAGTATTGTACTTCATAAATATTCATTTTGCTGTGTTTATTTGTCACAATAATTGTATAATACAATTTTCTGGGATACGACTATTATACACAATAAATACACCCCTTTCAACCGTTGACTACATGATGAACCAGACGTTGACAAGCAACAATAATTAGGGTTTGTTATAAAATTTACTGCACCTGTTTCAAAAATTACTTACACCCGGTAACACCTGAGCGGAGCGAGGCGACTACTCGACGTAGTCACCATTGATGGTTACAGGGAGTGTGAAGTACATTGTTGTCCTGATAAGCACTGCGTGATGTTTTTATTTTAGAACAGTCTCCATGCACGGTGTCGGGTATGTTTGGTCTGAGGTTCGGTATATACTTACAGCTTTGGCTTCGAGTTAAAAAAAACAGTATGTGCCCTTCTCTTCCCGCCATAGTCACCTAGTATATTTTTCACAGCAAACGAGATCCAGATGTCGCGGACGAGTTCATGTTCATGAGGTTTGTGTTTTTTTAGTCTCCCTGTTTTACGTATTACTGCTTCACATCACAGTTCCTCTGTGTTTAAATCTACTATATATTATTTACTAAATTCGTTAATGCTGTACCTAGAATATTTGTCGACGGTGCGCTGCACAATCCCTCCATGAGTAAACCACTTTTCACCTCCGTTTTCGCGGAATTTGCTATAGTAGAAACTTACCAACGGATGTGCGAGGTACCCATGGGGTCTCTGTACAACGCGAAAATTTAAACGTCATTGTTCTGAGTTGCAGGAATACGCATTAGGTTTTTAAATTAGCCATAATTAGTATTAAACATGTCTCAGCTTATAGTGAAATATCAAAAAGAAAGATACGCGGCGTTTTAAGTCCGGATAGAACTTCGTCTGTCAGCACACTACAAAATTGGATTGGGTGTTCCTGTTTACTGAAATAAAAA